TTTCCACGTAAATTACTATTTTTCTACATCTTTTGTAGCAGCATAGTGTTACATTACATAGATGCTCCATAATTTAATCAATCATCTATTGTTGGCTATTTAGGTTGTGCACAATTTTCCACTATTATATACTGCACTACAGTGTAATTACCCTTACACATAAATCCATACTACCATCTGTTTCTTCAAAATAAGTAATTAGAAATCAAATAGGCACACACATTTTTTTAAGGCTTTGATACCAAATGTCCCAAAAGGTTGTGCCTGTTTACATACCCACTAGCAACATATCAAAATATCCAATTACCCATATTCCCACTAATACATGGTACTATCCTCCTCCTTAGACCTTCAAAAATGGTGTCTAATTATTGTTTTATTTTGCATTCCTTAAATTACTGGTGGCATTGATTCATTAGCCATTTGCAATTCTTCTTATGAACTGCCTGCTAGTGCTATGTATCTATTTTACTACAGGGGATATCTTTTCCTTATTATATTTAACATATATATATATAAAAGACTCATAAATTATCAATTATTTGTCTCAGAATGTTCCCAGTTTATCATATTGCTTGCATTTTTTTCTACCATGCAAGTTATATCCCATAGGAAGATTATCTTTTTATCTACCACCATTCCTTTTTTTTTTTTTAACCATACCTGGTTCTCAATAGATGCTGATGGAACTAAAATATTTCTTCACACATCCCTTCATCATTTCTAATCCCATCATTCCAAACAATGCAATATGCACAGCACCTTACAAGTGTCTTAATTGGCCGCCTTTAGATTCTTTCCCATCTCCAATTTTTCCTCACAGATTACCACCAATTAATATACCGAAAACACCATTTGCAACATGCCACTCCTCTGAACAAAAACTTTATTATTTGAATAAGAAAATACAGTGTTCGTAAATAGATCCATATAATCTAAGTATTATCACCCAATCTCTACTTTTGGCTTTGCAATGATGTGCTGTCTAGATGCCCTTTTATATCCCATCTGCCTCTAAAATTTATGTATCATTTGATATACAACTCTAATGAGTCTGTCTTCTCCTCCACTAATCAGTTTATAGTATACGTAACAAAAAAAAATTATTAGATATTTGACTTGTTTGCATTGTTCCCCTATGCTATGATGATAGATTTTTTCAGTTCCAAAAGTGGTATTTCCAGGTCAGAGTTATGCATGATTCTGTCCCTCACCTTTTTGCGTCCAAGGAAAACCTACTGCCTCGTAAGAATCATCTATCAGGGAAGACATTCTGCCCCAAGAACCTCCCAAGAGACTTTTCCAACTCTTGGTCTCCTCCTGGCCAGTATTTTTTTCTTCTCTCCACCATTTCCATTTTTATAAAATTATAATAAAATGCCTACATACACTAACATGAGAACATAACATTCAAATAATTACATAAATCATGATGTTACAGAAACAGAAAGTTGTCCAGCAGTAGCTCCAATCATAAAATAGCTCAAATAAGGTTTGTAAGTTGTTAAAGGAAGGTATGTAATCCAACATACAAAACGTGGTGTTAAAATATATTGAAAAACAAGTAATTGTATTTCAGCATTTCTTGATTTTTCAGTCAAAAAACTGGAACATATTTCTGATATGACAAAAATAAAAAATACATTTACATTAACATCACAACTGTGTCAAATAGGCCTATGAAAAACACAAGACAAAACACAAAAAAATGCCAAATTTCTCAAACTTCTGTAGAGTTGATTTCCTTGTAACATTTTTTTTTTTTAAGCGTAATGGAATATTTGGGGTGATAGAATAGTTCTGTGTCGGGCGCCTGGGTGGCTCAGTCGTTAAGCATCTGCCTTCAGCTCAGGTCATGATCCCAGGGTCCTGGGAGTGAGTCCCACATCGGGCTCCCTGCTCAGTGGGAGGCCTGCTTCTCCCTCCCCCACTCCCCCTGCTTGTGTTCCCTCTCTCACTGTCTCTCTCTCTGTTGAAAAATAAAATCTTTAAAAAAAAAAATAGTTCTGTGTTCTGTGTCTTGACAGTGGTGGTAGATACACAATTATATGCATTTGTCAAGTAGGGGAAGAAAATAATTAAAATAGGTAACTCTGGAAAACACTATTTTAACTGGATACCACAAGGCTAAAGACAAAAAGAACTACACACACTGTTTTCTAATTAGCAAATTTGTTTTTTATAGGAGTATGGGTTAGAAATCCTGAAAATCCTTTTCAGTGTATATGAGAATTGAGCAAATAAGAAAATATTTTGTAGAACACGAAAGCCAGATTTCTGTCAACGGAAGAAGTAACAAATAAGGGGCATGACTAGAATGAACCCTGTGGTGTTGGTTTACAAATGGAACTCTCAGAATGAATTTTTTTTTAAATATATACACACAGATATAGGAGTACATATACACAGATAAATACAAAAACAAATCTTTGTGTATGCATGGGTGTGTGTGTGTGTATCCATGGACTATGTGGATATATATGTACATAGCTAAGAAATATATTTTCAAATAAACATAATGAATATAAATAAAATATAAGTATTTAATATTTTATAAGTACATAAATAAATATATAATAAATATAATATAAAATGTTTTATTTATTGGGATGCCTGGGTGGCTCAGTCGGTAAGCATCTGCCTTCGGCTCAGGTCATGATTCCAGGGTCCTGGGATAGAGTCCCACATTGGGCTCCCTGCTCAGTGGGGAGTCTGCTTCTCCCTCTCTGCCTGCTGCTCCCTCTGCTTTGTGCTCTCTCTAATAAATAAAAATAAAATCTTTAAGAAAAAAAGATTTTTAAAAATGTTTTATTTGTAAAGGACAACTATTTATTAAAAAATATAAATATATATTTATATATATTCCCGTCTTCTGCCAGGAACCACAAACATGAGCACACCTAGTGCCCTGATCTTGGTGTTTAAGTACCACTCTCCAGAAAAGGAAACCATGGGCCCTTGGAGAAGTGGTTGATTCCAGGGCTGGGGCAGGGAAAACACAAGGTAAGCCTGGAATGTCTTATGGTGCCAGAAAATAAGGAAGTTCTCAAAAAGTGATGGAAGCCTGTCAAAAGGAAGCAACCTGAAAAAATTCCCAAGGGACAAGGCTGGAACAAAAACATTGAGATAATATAAATAACAAAAATGACCAATAGTAAAATAAATGAGTCCATACTGATACAAAAAAATAACTGAATAAATAAATAGGAAGGGGCAGCTCTTCCTTAAAGAAGTCCAATTAATAAAAGAAGGAAATGAGGGAAACAGAAAACCACCATTGGAACATCAAAGTAATAATCACTGAAGGCAAGATCCACCAATGGATGGTAAAATCAGCAAGTGAAAGTTTGAGCAGAAACAAGATATTTTTACAGTTTAGAAACTCTCCCAAGATATCTGATTCATTTCAAGGGAAAAGTAGTAAATTTAGAGAATCCTAGCAGACACCATCCTTAACCAAGTGATCAACAGTAGTATCAAAAGCAGTGTGTCATAACATGAACCCCTCATATGATGAACTGAGAAGGGTACCTCCACTTCTGTGGTATCAACAAAAATGCATAACCTTAATCTAATCTTAAGAAAACATCAGATAAAACCTAACTGAATTAAGGACACTCTACAAAATAATTGACCAGGATTCTTCACAAGTGTCAAGATGAGGAAAGACAAGAAAAGACTAAGGAGCCATGCCAATTAAATGCAATGTGGGATCTTATATTGGATCCTGGAACAGAAGAAAAGGACATTAGTATAAAAAATTATGAAATCTGAAAAAAGGTGGTAGTTTGGTTAATCGAATTGTACCAATGATACTTTCTCATTTTTGATAATTGTACTATATAGTTCTCTAAGGCATTAACATTAAAGGAAACTGTAGAGAACTCTCTTACTTTTGCAACTTCTCTGTACTTGTAAAATTATTTCAAAATAAAAAGGCTTTCTAAAAACGTCTGAACTGATGTTTCACAGAAGACAGCTCAAACATTTTGAAGAATTGCACTAACACTTGCGGACGCCGGGGTGCCAGGTGCTCTACAAAGTACTCTTTAGTGCTTACAACTATCAGCTGAGTACCATTAATACTCCTGTTTCCCGTGAGGAAAAAGTACCGGGGGGTTCACTACATAGATTATTTGGAAGTGAAAAGCCCCATTTCCCAGAAAAAGTCCAAACTGCCAGCAACCTTCCGCCCTCCTCCCAAAAGCGATGAACACCGTCCATCAGCCTAGAGATCCTACGTCCTCCCAGTGGTGGCCCCGAATGTCCTCAGGCACGTCTCCCCGTGCTTCTGACTAGGGGACGGGGCACTGACTTTGGAAAGAAAAGTCCCGGCCCTTGATCCTCACATATGGTCTCTTCTCTAAGCCCTCTGATTCTGAATTTATCTAGGCGGGAGTCAGATGCGGGAGACCACCTCCCGGTCTGGCTGACGGGAGGCTCCGACCTCTGGCTCCCGGTCCTCCCCTCACTGCCCCCGAGGCTCGCGTCACCCCTCGCAGTGTCGCCCACGGCGCCCCTGGGCCACAAGCACCAGACGCCCCCACCAGAGAACGGATGCACGGGCGGTCTCGGACCACGCAGCCGGGCGACCCTGACGACCTAGGGCCCACACTGCGTCACGGGCAGGACGGGGCAGGAAACTTTCCCACCCCGCGGCCCCAGGAGGCCGCCGCGCTCGCCCTGTCGGCGGCCTCCCAACACCCGCTTCGACAAGGGCTTCCAAAAACGAAACCGCCACTTCTTGGAGCCGGGAGGAGCCCTCAAAGCGCTCGCACTCCGGACCCGATGCCAGGCTTCCCACCGGGAGCCTCTCCCGCGCGCGGACTTAGCGCCCATGCCACAAAGCCCGTCAGGGCCTGACGCCCCCGAGGCCGCCTCCCGCAAACCCCTTACCTCCCGCCGGGGCGCTCGAGGCCGCTTGCTGTGCATGGCGCAGGCGCGGGCGCGACGGGGCGGGGCGTCGTGAGGGGCTGGCCGGGCTGGATCACGCCCCCTCCCGGCCCTTTTGGGGCCTACGGGATGTGGCACCCACGCTGTGACGCCTTCCCGCCGGGGGAACGAGGTAAGAAATTGGTCTTAGTTTGTGTTGTAAGGTTGCAACACTGGAGCCAGGAGGAGAGAGACCCACAATCACCTTCTAGGTTTTTGTGTTGTGTTTTCAGTACGACTTAATTCACACATGCATAGCTTTCTACATTTTGCAAAGTTTTTCTGTCCATTTTCCTGTTTTAACAGGACTTTTACTGGCGGGTTGGCCATGTGTTCTAAGCTTTTTACATATGTAGAAACTGAAGCTCCGAAAGGTTGTGCCTTCTCCCATTCGTCCCCAAAAACCCAATGAGGTGAACAGGACACAAGTCTTAACAACCGTAACAGGCGCAGAAATTGAAACTCAGACAAGTTATGATTTCCCGCCCCGCCAAAGCTGGGGGAGTCCTTCATGCCACTGTCCTTATCCCAATTTTATTGATAACGACGCTGAAGTTAAACAAAGAGTTTTAAGTGACTCACTCCAGTTCAGCCAGTTAGTAACAGAGTTGGAACTCCACTGGGTTTCCTAATTTCCTTCTCAAGCTCTTCCAGTGACCAGCGGCTGCCAATGACCAAGCAGATGGCTGGCTTTGAAGCCCGGTCCGGGTCACATGGCCTGACTTCCAGACCCACCCTTTCTTATGTGCTTGTGAATGTTCAGATGACTTGTTTAGAATCTCCTGACAGTATTATCCTCAGAAATCATAAGAATGTTCAAGCCACAGCTCAGGAAATTCAGGTCTTAAGGTCTCCAGTGGAGTTGGAGTAGAGGTAGAAATTGTAGGCTAAAGAAGATTAGGGGCCTGTGAGAAAGTCTTGAAAAGCAATTTCTAAAGTAAAGCAAAAATACCTAAGCAATTTGGAGATTCTTTGTGGGTGTAATGAATGCTGATGTTTGTTTTACTCTAGGAATGAAAGGCTTGTAAATTTTTAATTTTAAGAAGAAATATGAAAGTATTAAGCCATGCCATGGGAAAATGTTTTTCATGCAAAGGTCAGTTAAACAAGATCTTTTTGAAATGAAGGTCATTCAAAATAAGTTCTGAAAACCTGCCTCAACTATAGTCGGGAGACACATCTCAAGGACTCTAAATTTGAATCTAGCCTTCTCGGCTATTATCTGTATGTTTGCTATCATTTAGGTGTGTCAAGTTAGCAGGGTAAAGCTTTTTAATCTAACAGTTTGTTCGCTTGATTTATAATCTCTAAATATTTAAACATACAGTGTGTGTGGAACTCTTTGTTTTCATGCCTGGGGGCTCTGAGGTTGTCAGGGCAGGCCTGCTGCTACCAGCCAACATTTTCCCCAGGTCCTAACTGAAACAGGAAGGCAAACTAAATAAAACAGTAAATACATATATTTGAAAGAAAAAGGGAAAAAATATTTTCACATATTAAGATTGCTTACCTGGGAAACCCAAAGGAAAGAATTAAAATTGAAGCGAAGTTCAATAAGGTAGCTAGAGAAATAGCTTTCCTAAATTGCCAATTTTACAATGTAGTGGGAGAAAAGACCACATTCAAAAATAGGAGAATCAAGTTTCTGTTTATAAGGAATTACAGGACCTTTCTGAAGAATTAAGAGTAATAGCTAAATGGGGTGAGGGTAGAGGGAAGAATTATAAAGGGTCATGAGGAAACCTTGGGGGTGATGGATATGTTCATTATCTTTATTGGGGTACTAGTTGCATGGGTTTATACATATCAAAACTTACCAAATTGTACACTTTATTTTTTAATGCATTTTTTTAAAGACTTACTTATTTATTTGAGACAGAGAGAGAGAGAAAGCACGCACAAGTAGGGGAGGAGCAGAGGGAGAGAATCTAAAGCAGATTCCCCGCGGAGCATGGGGCTTGATCCCAGAACCCTGAGATCAAGACCTGAGCCAAAACCAAGAGCCAGACTCTTAAACAACTGAGCCACCCAGGCGCCCCCCAAATTGTACACTTTATTTTTTTTTTAAGATTTTATTTATTCATTTGACAGAGAGAGAGAGACTGCGAGAGAGGGAACACAGGCAGGAAGAGCGGGAGAGGGAGAAGCAGGCTTCCCGCTGAGCAGGGGCCCGATGTGGGCCTTGATCCCAGGGGACCTGAGCTGAAGGCAGACGCTTAACAACTAAGCCACCCAGGTGCCCCCCAAATTGTACACTTTAAATATGTGTATATGTGTTTACTGAATGTCAGTTATACCTGAATAAATCTATTTCTTGAGAAAAGGTATATATTACTATTTGCTTAGCACCTAGCACAGTGTTTGGAACATGAAAACATTGAAAAGACTAAGAAAATAATATATATTCACTGTATGAATTAAGAAATACTTTTTTTAGTATCACAGAGCAAGTATATGGAGAACCTGAGAGTCAAATTCAGATTTGGCACAATAATAGAGATAGAATCTGAGGTTATCTTCCCAGCCCAGTCCTTTTCTGGGAACTGCCTCTCCCAGCCCAATCTGCAGGCTGTCAGTTATGAGCCTCTGGCAGCCATTTTGTACAAGTGCGAATGCATGCCCATGACCACAGTGAATTGGTCCAGGAACAGACACCTGACTTGAACTGGAATAAGATACCTTTCCCAGGAAATTGGGATTCCGGCCTCAGGCTGAACTGGTTTCTTGAAAGGAGAAGATGCTCACAGCAAGAGCTCTTAGTGGCCCTGTTTTTCACTCCATAGACTGGTAAATCAGAAGAAGCCATGCTGCTCTTAGATCCTATTTGTAATTGTGAAGAGATGAGAATAGTAGGTATGTCCTATTTCATGGTTTTAAAAAAGTATTTTTGTTTTTTGGGGGGGTATTGTTTTTTACTACAGGTCATGTTCAAAAAACATTTTTTTTAAAGATTTTATTTGAGAGAGAGAAAGTGAACATGAGTGGGGGGAAGGGCAGACGGAGAGGGAGAGGCAAACTCCCCACTGAGCAGGGAGCGAGCCAGAAGGCTCACCAGGATCATGACCTGAGCTGAAAGCAGATGCTTAACCTACTGAGCCACCCTCAAAAAACATTCAAAAGCCACTATCCTCACTAGGTTCTTTCTTGATCCATGAATTATTAAAACATCTACTGCAGTTCTGAATGCATTCTATTTCTTTGTGCATTCTATCATCCCAACCATCTTGGGAGCCGAGATGAAAAAAGGTTAAAAATAAAGTAATAATAGTAATACCTTTGGGATTGCATTAACTGGGAGAGGGCATAAAGGAGCTTTCTAGGGTGCTGGAAATGTTCTATATATTGACATGGTGTGATTACATACGTGAAAATTCATCAAGCTGTACACCTGAGGTCTATGTACATTATGTAAGTTATCCCACAATAAGAAAGGAAAATAAAGAGCTAGCAATTCTTGATTTAAAACAAACAAAACCTCTTAGTAAATAAGGAAATAGATACTTCCTTAATATTATTTCTATTACCTCTCTCTGAGGTAGTGGCGAATTAACAATAGTAATTCCTACCCTAGTTAAGGCCCTTCATCTCTTTGAAAATAAAATAAAAAGACATGGAAGAGAGAGGGGAGGGAGGGGAAAATGTTTAGATGCATAAAAAAGAAACAGAGTTTGGAGCACATTCAAAGTCCTGGCTCCAGTTGACTTTAGTACTTAAACCTTTCTACTTTCTGCTTTACTATCCCCTACCACCACCACCCACACATGTACATACGCGCACGCACACACCACATCCACCGAACAGTTTGTTCATGTATATTAGTTATAGAGACCTCGTATCAAACCAAAAGGAGTAAACTCTGGGCATACAGTAACTCTGGAATTCTCCACTCATCAACCATTCCCCACATAGGAATTTGATCATCATTTCACATGTAGAGTATCTTAAATGCCCAGACATCTGCCTAGAAACCCCCCTACCCACCCCACTTTTTGTTCTTTTAATTACCTTAATTATTCTCAAAATTTGGTGTGCCCAAGAATTATTGCATAAGGTAGTATTTATAAAGCCATGCTTGATGGACCTTAGGGGCAATTTAAACAATTTTCAAGGGTAATTTTAACTCTAATTTTTGCTTTATTCACCTAATTCCTCATAGCCACACCTCTCACTGTCCAACTCACCCTCCAAAGATGCAAATTTCTGTTTGTAATGACAATGGTGATATCAATAGAGATGTTAAAGGATTTAAGTTCCCTGGTTAGCTTTCTATAAAAGACCAACCCTAAAGGCCCTCTTTGGCAACCCTGTTGGGACCCTCTCACTCTTGACAACTTTTACTGTATCTTCACTTAATAAACTTCTATTGCTTTACTCACAAAACAAAACAAACCCAGTAAACATACTTAGCATTAGAATCATACTAAATGTTATTTAAACTTCGGCAATTTGCAAGGTACCTTGAATTTTATAGTGCCTTAGTTACTAATATCAGGAATGTCAGTTAAAAATCACATGATAGATAGAGTGCCTGGGTGGCTCAGTCAGTTAAGCATCTGACTCGTGATTTCAGCTCAGGTCATGATCTCAGGGTGGTGAGATTGAGCCCCGCATCGGGTCCCCAGTGTGGAGCCTGCTTAAGATTCTCTCTCCCTGTCATTCATAAATAAATAAATTAAACAAACAAACAAACAAACTGGGTGTGGAGCCTGCTTAAGATAAATAAATAAATAAAACATGATATGATATGATAGATATACAGAAAGCAAATTGATAGATATTCTGCATGGGTGCAACCTTGCTTTCTATCTCCCATTACTCCCCTTCACATGTCCTGTGCTCTAATCAAATTAAACTCCTTGTTACTCCTTGTTATTCTTCACCCCAGTCCTTCCCCCTCTCCTACACCAATTGCTCCTCTCTCTTTGCACATCCAAATCCTACTCATCTTTCCATGTTCACCCCAAATGTGACCCCTCCCCATATTTCTAGAATTTTTCAATTTAATGCCTGACTTCTCCAAATACCTACCTTATAATCTGATCTTTTTTTCTTTTTGACACATCACTATCTACATTTCACTATAGTAATACCATCTTCAATGCTTTTCAACCTTTTCCTTGTCGTGGCACAAATAGAAAATGATGATATTTATAAAGCAAAACTAAAATAGTTGCTCTTAGCTTCTGCCACTTGGCCCAGTTGCACTGGGCACTGGGGAAGTTAGTGCTTCCACATGCCTATGAACACATTCAAGCACAGGGGTTGAGACGTTGTCTTGTACCGTCCCACGTTAGAATATAAGCTTCCTGGTTCCACATTTGAGTGAAATCCTTTGGTATTTGTCTTTCTCGGTTTGACTTATTTCACTTACCACAATACCCTCCAGGTCTAAAACAAATGAATAAACAACAGACCTATACAAACAGAGAACAAACTGACATTTGCCAGAGGGAAGGGGAGGGTGGAGGAATGGGCAAAATGGGTGAGGGGAGTGGGAGATACAGCTTTCAGTTATGGACTGAGTAAGTCACTGGGATAAAAAGCACAGCACAGGGAATAGAGTCAATTATATTGTAGCAGTGTTCTATGGTGATAGATGGTAGCTACACTGTGGTGAGCAGAACATGATGTATAGAGATGTGGAATCACTCACTGTTGTACACCTCAAACTAATGTAACATTGTGTGTCAACCATACTAAATTTTTTTTCTTAAAGAATATAAGCTCCCTGAAGGCAGGATCCATCTTTGCTTACCTGTGTATCTACCCATAGATTCTAGTTCAATGCCTTGTACCTTAATTAGTGAATAATTGAATAAATGACAATACTATTTTTTTTAAGTTTGCTTTTACAGACTTCTGAGGGCTTCTAGTTTCAGCTCCAACATGTAAAGAACTTGAAAGTCATCACTCCCATCCTTACAACAAGAACAAAGCTGAACAAACTTAAGCATCAATGACTTTTCTTGGACTTATCAGGGAATTGAGGTTGCAGGCAAACTGCCCTCCAAAATCTGGAGAGACCAGTAAATACAGAGAATCACAGCCAACATCAGCTTACCTGAAACAGAAGCCTCTGGAACATCTGAAGCTGGTAGGAACATCTAAATGGTAACTCTGACAAATTGTTCGTAGTGAAGTGTGGACTTGTGTGACAGTGAGAAACTCCTGGGGGCTGCAGTCTTTGGGGGGACCCCACATTTCCATGGATTTGTACCTCCAGGAACCTCACCAGGTTCTGAAGCCAAAACTCCTCATGTTTCTGGCAGAGGAGGGGAAAATAAACCATTTTGAAACACACCCAGGACCTTCTCCATAACAAAGGCCTACTTTACAAAGGAAAAGATTTAGCCAGAGACCTATGGGGGGGTGGGCGGAGATGAGAAGTTACCTAACTCTCCCCTCTTAACCTTCCTGTCTCTCTTAAGGTGGGGTAGGGGAAAGGTTGAGAAACCCTTGTGAAAGTCATAGCCCAAGGACAGGGGCCCACCAAAAGACAAAAACTTAATCATAGGATTATAGGATGTTCCTTTCCCCCTACACCTTACCACCACGCTACCCCTCCAATATAATCATAGTGGATTACAGTTTAAAGAGCTGCAAGGTGCAATCTCCATATAAGAAGTTTTAAGGAAAAATTTTAAAACAAAAATACCAGAAGAAATTGAAGCCTCTGATACCTACTGGTACAGCAGACATTAAACATAGCTTAGTCCTAGGAGATTAACACAAAACTTCACAGTAAAAGCCAATTCACCTGAGTTCCTACTACCTGATACATCATATCTGGCTTTCATCAAAAAATTGCAAGGGCTATTAATAGGCAAGGGAGAAACATAGTCTAAAGAGACAAAGCAAGGATTAGAACCAGACTCATATGACATAGATTCTGTAAATGATCAGATAGGGAATTTAAAATAAGTATGATTAATATGGCAAGGGGCTTAATGGAAGAAGCTGACAACATGCAAGAACAGATGGGTAATGTAACCAGAGACATGGAAACTAAGAAAGAATCAAAAGAAAATGCCAGGAATAAAAAACACTGTAATGAAGATGACGAATGCCTTTGATGGGCTTGTCAGTAGACTGGACATGGTCCCAAGGAAAGAATCAGTGAATATGAAGATACATCAATAGAAACTTCCCAAACTGAAATGCAAAGAAAAAAACAGAATGAAAAAAAAAAAGAACAGGAAAAATCTGTGGGGCAATTTCAAAAGATGTAATATACACTAGTTGGAATACCAGAAGGAAAAGAGAAAGAGAATGAAGCAGAAGAAATATTTGAAGTAATAATGGCTTTTTCCAAAATTAATGACAGACACCAAACCACAGATGCAGTAAGCTCAGAGAAAACCAAGCAAAATAAACGCCAAAAAATCTACATCTAGGTATATCATATTCAAACTCAAAAAAAAAAAAAAATGAAAAAAATCTTGAAAGAAGCCAGAGAGAAAATAAACACCTTACCTGTAGAAAACTATTCTGTGAAGGGGAGGTATATGCAAAATGACCTCCAAAGTCAGAAGGAGCCTAAGACAGAAGAAAAAGGCCAAGTCCAACTTAATGAGAAATGCTTTATTAAAGGAACTTAAAACAGAAGGCTGAGTGGGTACCCACCAGACAAGTATATCTCTGCCACTCCACCTCCCTTAAAACCTTGTATAGCCCTAGAGGCTGGGAGTACTGCTAGGGGACTACCCAAGGGGAGAATATAGAAGACTTGGTGTGTCGGGGCGCCTTGGCAGCTCAGGCGGTTGAGCCTCCAAGTCGAGTGTTGATTTCGGCTCAGGTCATGATCTTAGGGTTGTGGGATCAAGCGCTCAGTTGGGCTCTGTGCTCAGTGTGGAATCTACTAGAGATTCTCTCTCTCCATCTCCTTCTGCCCCTCTCTCCAATTGCAATAAATAAATAAATATCTTAAAAAAAAAAGAATAGGTGTGTGTCAAAGTCCTATCTCCAGGCTGTGGTTAAACAAAAAGAAAGAATGTGGAGGGGGGAAGGGTTGTGCTCAAGAAGGTTTCAGGTCACAGGACAGGCATCATGGAGGATTGGTACAAGATGGTGTTAGTCCATTTCACACAAGGACCAAGGATAAGAGTTACATCAGAATTCTCATCAAAAACCATGCAAGCAAGAAGAGAGTAGAGAGAAATATTTAAAGTGTTGGAGGAAAAAAAAAAACCAATAAAGCACAAACCTAGAATTTGATATTCAGCGAAATTATCCTTTACATATGAAGAAAAAAATACTTTTTCAGATCCCCCCACAAAAAAAGAGGCAATTCAGTTCCAGTAGATCTGCTCTGCAAAAAATGTTAAAAGAACTTCTTCAGGGAGAAGGAAAATGATATAGATCATAAATTTGGATCTACATAAAGAAGAGCCCAGGAGAAGGAATAAGTGAAATTAAAAACTTTTACTTTTCTTATTCTTCATTGAGTTAATAGTTCAAAGTAATAGTAACAATATACTAGGTAAAATAAATGGTGGCAATATTTTAAGGGATAGGAGGGAGGAATTGGGAATACTTTTGTTGGAAGGTAAGTGCATTACACATAAGGTGGTATAGTGTTATTTGAAGGTATACTTAAGGGTGCCTGGCTGACTCAGTCGGAAAAGCATGTGCCCCTTTATCTCAGGGTTGTGAGTTTGAGCCCCATGTGGGGCCGTAGAGATTACTTAAATAAATATGAAGGTATACTTAGATTAGTCATATAGTATAAACTCTAGCATAATCAGTAAAAAAAGTTTAAAAAGAAGTAGAATTGATATACTAGAGAAGGCAAAAAGGGGGTAGGGGAGAAATGATTACAATAAATAGAAAATAGTTACAAACATGGTACGTTTTAAACCAACTGTATCAGTAAGCACTTTAACATGAATGCTCTGGCTACACCATTTTTTTTGGTCAGCGTGATTATCGATGTGAACAAAAAAACAAGACCCGAGTATATGTTTTCTACACAAAGCCCATCTTAAAAATAAAGACACAGAAAGGTTAAAAGTAAAGGGACGGTGAAAGATACACCATGCTAACACTTATCAAAAGAAAGCAGAAGTAGCTCCATTAATTTCGGACAAAGCAGATTTCAGGACAAGGAAAATTAGAAGCAATAAAGAGGAGCACATTACATAATGATGAAGAGGTTACTTTTCCAAGAAGACATAACAGTCCTTAATGTGTGCATCTAACAACACAGCATCAAAGCATGTGAGTCAAAACCTGATAGACTGCCAGGAGAAAGAGTGCCTTGCTAAGAGAGCATGAGAGCAACATGAGTCAAGTTCACGAAAGTTGCCATTTCTTCCAGGCGCAGCAGGATCATCATAGAAGAACTAAGAGAATTTAACAGTAGGGCAAAATGATTTCCAAGATACCAAATATTTCTAGATTCCTGTTGGAGAAGCTGCCGGAACTCTCTTTTACAGGATTATAGAATCTGTCTTCAATCCTTTGACAACTGACACTCTCACCAGTAAACCTTTTAATCCCCCAACTAGTGAAATACATTTAAGGAATTGGAAATCAACAAAATTCACAAAGAGTCCCACCCTCCCTCTTCTCTGCCCAGCAAGCCCCCAAATACCATTGTCACAGCCCTTAGGGGATTTTTTTTTTCCCTTCTGTAGGCCTCGATGGATTGCAGGGGCTTTTGAGTGGTATTTGTATTTCCTCTAGCCAAAGACACATTAACTTTAATATTTCTTTGGCAGATTATTTCCAAAGAAAGAAATATTGCTTCCCCCATGGAAATAAATTGGTGGGTTGAGCAACTCATTTTGCTTGCATAAGGGAACACTTCAGAAGATAAATGCTTAAAACCTGAATGTATGGTTTTTTAAATATGGAAAAGATTTCCCGATTCCCTGTACTTAAACCTTAAAGGTCATGATTGCTAAGTTTAAGATTCTATTTATGTTAGGGAGAGAGAGTGCATGCTTGAGGAGGGGGAAGGGCAGAAGGAGAGGGAGAGGGGGAGGAGGAAGGAGAGAATCTCAAGAAGACTCCCCGCTGCGCGTGAGCAGGTGTGGGGCTTGACGGGGGGCTGGACACAGGGCTCGATCTCACAACCCCGTGATCATGACCTAGGCAGAAACCAAGAGTCCAACGCTTAACCGACCTAGCCGCCCCGGTGCCCCCATGATTGCTAAGTTTAAATCTTCCCAACACATGGCAAGTCCTTTCCCATTCATTTATTCAGTCAGTCTATATGGCCAACAAGCCAGCTACTATGCCTAGTACTGGTGATTGAAGATTTAAAGATCCCATTCTTGTCGTCTAGGGGCTCATAGTCTGGAGGGAAAGACAGACATGCCGATAAATATAATTGACAAACGCCATTATTAGCTATGCTTAAAAAGTGCTTAGAAAGAAGCACAGAGATGATGACTTCAGAGTTTGGTCAACACACAGGAATTATTGACAAAGGGAGGAAAGTGCATTCTGAACAGAAAGAACGATGTAAAAGACACAAAGAATGCAACAGAGCTATATCCGAGTTTCCAGAGTGGTGGGGTCAGATAAGCAGACAGAAGGTTGCCTAGGGGCAGGATGAGTAACTATCTCAGATGCATTTATCAAAATTCATGTTGACCGTGTTCCTATTTGTGTCAGATCTGGTCATGGCACTATTTAATTTTGAATCCGTGTCGTGGCTCCCTCCATCTAAGACACACATCATAGCAGATTCACACACACCAACCAGTTCCTCGTGGGGCTTCCGAGGCCCTCCAAATTTTAATTTAAATTTCTAGCCACCTAGCCTGCCATTTTATGAAGCTCTCTACCAGGTTCCTGTAATTCCCTAATATCCCATCCACTTTCTTGCTTCTGTGTCTTTGCTGAAGCTGGTCCCCCCTCTGGAATGCTTTCTGCCTCCTTTCTGTTGATCAAAATTTTACTCCTCCCTGAAGATCCATCCCAAATCTTTTCTCTCCCCCCAAACCCTTCCCTTCTTTCCCCAGCCTGCACTCCTACAGTAACTTCATTTAATTTTGCTCTGTGATAGAGTTGCTCACATGTCTGTCTTTCCAACTAGAGCACAATTTATTGAGGGCAGGCGCCTTGTGTTATTTATTGTTTGTTCACAACTAGTGGCCTGGAAT